GAGACACGACAGGGAGGAGATTTGTCAATCAGGCTGCAGAATGCAATGCGCATTGTTGAAAGCTGTATGGTGCAAAAAAAAAATCAGCGAAAAAGCGAGGCAGTGACGGATGAACAGCGGGACCACTGTGTGCTGTTTATTATAAACAATAACATATATTCCTATATGACAACATGCATAAAAGCAGAAAGGCATTTGTACATCAGTGGGAAATATAGCGGTGGCTTGCTAGCTCTCGTGCGGCTTCCCCGGGTCAGTCAATATTTTCAAAAGAGAAATGAATGAACTTACCAGGTTTCCCGATCTCTTCACATATCTTCCTCCAAGCTCGGTCCTTTATATTCCTGTCTCGGTACAGAAAGCAGCTGGTGTCGTACAGCTCCGGGTTGTTTGCTACGGCGTTGATTAGCCTTTCCTCCATATTGAATTTAGTATGAAGGGCTTTGGCTGGATCTGCCCCATTGACCTAGGTCAGCGCTATGTCACCTGGCTCCTGATTGGTTGTCGCAGCGCGAATTGACACTGGAGTTCAGATTTTTCCAACTCGAGCGGTAGACGGGATAAGCCGATAAGCGCGAATGCACAAAATGCAACACAAAACCTGACGCGCATATTTTTATTCGCGTGTCAAACACGTTTGACGCGTTTTCGCAACGCAAATCTGCTTCTGAATTTTCGCAGGACCCGCAATCGTGCGTCATTGCGCTCCTCCATTGACTTTACATGTAAATCTGACGCTCTGGTCGCGTCTATTGCGTTTGTGTGAACACACCGTAACAGTCTCTGTTGGCCAGAGCTTCAAATTCAGAATCTGCTGACAAACAGGAAACAGAGAAAGTCACTGGGCATGCCCAGACACTAACTTTTTTTTTTAAAAGTTAGATAGAGAGAGAAAAGACACTAAAAATATGCTTTGTCACCTGCTGAAAAAAAAAAAGAAAACAGGTGCCGCTGGCTACGCCAGAGCAGAGCATGCCCTGAGCCCAAGAGACCATCACTGGGAGTGAGCTAGTACACACTTGAGCACCCAGCCCCGGACACAGAGAACCAACAATATACCGGTGGGTGGGGGCATCAGCCAATGGCAAGGAGTGTGGTTGGAGGATTGTCCTCCACACCTGGGGAGGCCTGAGATGTTCCGAGAGAGGTGGAGTCTAAGACTCGACCTGGCACATAGACATAGAAAAACAGGCACACAGAGATAAAGACATGCATCCCCACCCTCATTTACACATATACAAATACTCAGCACACTAATCACTAAGGTATTTTGGTGAGGTAATTAATATCTTTAGTGGTTGAAGTTTTGAAAAGTATCAGTAAAAATATTTACTAACAAATATGTCCCAGTCCATTTGGTATTTGTGAGCCACTTAGAGATTCCATAATTTCACATATCATATCGATGATGATTGGAACACACTGTCCAAAGTCCTAAGAGGTAAGTTGTTACTGACTCATGGTCATAGGCTGTATAAAGTATAGACGTCGCTCCTGGATTTTGTCGTGGAAATTTAACGAACAAAACCTGCAGGCATGGTTAGCACTATTAACAACACCTTTAATTCTCATGCATGAAGAGAGAATAACCTCAGGTAACACCAGCTAACAATGTTAGCTCAGTGGCAAGTAGCCTTCAGTAATATTAAAAAATCACATTGCAATAGTACATTCCTGTAGTTGTTAAAAGCATGACAATATATTAAGCAGTGTTGGGTAAGTTACTTTAAATTAGTAACTTAGTTACATTACTAGTTACTTCTATCAAAAGTAACTCAGTTTGTTCTGTCCTCACTAGATGTGGGCGTGATTTAGCTTATCCAGTTTGACAGACAGGTAACAGAATGAGAAGAATAGAATGCTTTGAACTGAGATTCTTCTTTACTTCGAGCTGCATCTCCAGTTTACATGCCATCTTACTAAGGCTTCTTATACATGGTATCCCTTATCCATTTTCATTTCTCTCCTTTCTCTTTTCTTTTTGTAAAACTAAATAAACACAAAACAGATAATTACTTTCAGTTAACTAGTATTACTGCTCATAGCAAGTTAGCAAACATATACTAATATACAGTCGCTAGCACACAAATAGCTTTACAAATGAGTAATGACCACACAGCTGAAATAGTAACTCAATATACTCACATTACACATGCATCACAAATCAGATAGTTAAGGTTATAGTATGTAATGGAAACTTCCAGGCATGCGTGGGCAAAGGTTTCCCCTCCACTGAGCACTAGGTGTAGCAAACTAGCTGGGCATAACAACTTCCCAAGTACCATCTGTGGCCACAAGAGGGTGCCAGATCATACAAACAAAAGCATATTACCAAATTAAAGTTATACCAACACACAGTTACTTCAAGTTACTCGTTACTTTCAAAGTAACGAGTTACTAGGGAAAGTAACTTTGGTTTTACTCAAAATTCTCTTGTTAATGTGTTGCTTCTGTAACTGGATACACAGCCAGATTGCCAGTTTT